AGTAGTCAGAGGGATTCTTTGTGTTCACAGATACCTTTATGGAAAATTTAGAGAGACTCAGAGATTTTACTTTGCAGAAACACAAGCAGCTTAAAATTAATGTCAGGATACTGTTCTTAAAACTCCCTTGCCATTTCCATATTTCGGGCTCCAATCTTCCTCCACCTTTCACCCATCCATATCCCCGTGTTTTCTTCTACCTCTCTCCTCCTAATTCTTGTTCTTTTACTTTTTTTTTTGATAAAGCTTAAGGAACAATTAAGTAATGACTCTTAAGTGTACAGATTAATGAATTTCTACACATGTGTAGACTAATATAAATATTGTTTAGATGGCCAGACACAGTGGCACGTGCCTGTAATCCTAGCGCTTTGGGAGGCTGAGGCAGGAGGATTGACTGAGGCCATGAATTCGAGGCCAGCCTGAGTAACATATTGAGACCTTGTCTCTACAAAAAATAGAAAAATTAGCCAGGCGTGATGGTATGCATCTGTAGTTCCAGCTACCTGGGAGGCTGAGGCAGGATTCCTTGAGCCCAGGAGTTTAAGGTTGCAGTTAGCTCTGATGATGCCACTGTACTCTAGCTCAGGTAACAGAGTGAGAATTTGTCTCAGAAAAAACAAACAAAAAAAATATATATATGTATATATCTATCTTACTTAGACACACAGAATACCCCAGCAGCCCAGGAGGCTCACCTGTGTAGCTTTCATCAACTCCCTTGTTATTTGCCATCTACGCGAACCAACGGAGAGCCCAGCATGAGTTGGAAGGGAGAACAATGAGGTCAGAGTATTTATTCTCTGGTTCTTTCTCTGCAGGGTCATAACATATTCCTAAAGGTCAGTTTTTCACAGGAGCCCTCTTGACTTGACTCTAAGTTTCTGGTAACTACTCCTTCTCCTGGACCCTTATGGGTGGTAAAAACTATTACTAGGCTCAAGGACTACATTATTCTCATAGTTTACCCTGCCCACACCTTTGTATTATATGGTTGCTTCACTAAACTCTCCTTGAATTATCCTAATTCAAATGTGCCACCTGTTTCCTGCTGAGACCTTGTATGATACTGCAGGCATTCAATAAAAACCTGCTCAACGAATGAGTGACTTTCCTTCTAGCGTCACAAAGGTAGCCGTTTCTGCAGGAAAGCCCTTTGCTACTGGTGGAGGAAAAGAAGACGAAGGAATAAAGGAGAACAGGACAAAGCTTATCCACCCATATCTTGGTCTTTAATTGAGTGATTTTTATTATTTATGCAAGTGAACAAGTTCTTTTTAATTTTAAAGTGAAAGACATCTAAATGCATGTAAAATATAATTATCCTAAGAAATTCATGCCCTAGAAAGGCATGATAGCATAGTGGTTAAAAGCATGGGCTTCGAAGCCGAAGTGCCACTTATTAACTGTGTAACATACATACATACACATTCATTCATTCATTTATTGAGACAGAGTCTCGATCTGTCATCCAGGCTGGAGTGCAGGGCATGATGATAGCTCACTGTAGCCTTGAACTCTTGGGCTCAAGGGATTCTCCTGCCTCAGCCTCCAGAGTAGCTAGGACTACGGGCATGTGCCACTGTATCTGGCTAATTTTTTTTACTTTTTGTAGAGATAGCATCTATGTTGCCCAGGCTAGTCTCAAACTCCTGTCCTCATGCAATCCTCCTGCCTTGGCCTCCCAAAATGCTGGGATTACAGGCATGAACCACCACGCCCAGCCAAGTGTGACTTTTGAACAAATTGTTGAACTTTCGTATGGCTCCATTTCCTTTTCTGTAAAATGAACATAACTGTATTATCTATCCAAGGCTACCAAGTTGAACAACTCAAAGGAATGCTACTTATAAGAACAGAGAAAGTATTCTCTGGAGTGGTGCAATGATGTAGCTAGCCCCAGAGCTCCTTTTTATGACTTTTATATGGATAAATGGGGTTAATAAACATGAAGCATGTGGTATAAGAGATGAGTTTAGAAACCCAGGGCTTTGTAGGATATGGTAAAGACTTTGGATTTGATTCTAGTTGCAACTGAAAGACACTGGAAGGACATTATCTGGACAGCCCCAGAGCTCCGAATAACACTGCTCTCCCCAAGATCAGTACATTTCTTCCCCTAACTACAGTCATGGGCCACATAATGACACTTTTGTCAATGATGGACTGCATATATGACAGTGGTCCCAAAGATTATAATAGAGCTGAAAAACTCCTATCACCTACTGACATCATAACACCATACTGCAACGCACTACCTTTTCTATTTTAGATATGTTTAGATACACAAATACTACTGTGTCCCAACTGCCTGCAGTACTCAGTACAGTAACATGCTGTACAGGTTTGCAGTCTAGGAGTAGTAGGCTATGCCATATAGCCTAGATGTAGAGTAGGCTATACCATTTAGGTTTGTGTAAGTGCACTCTATGATGTCTGCACCACAACTGAATCACCTAAGGATGCATTTCTCAGAATGTATCCCCATTGTTACGCAACACATGACTGTATCTGCATGGCGTACTCCTTTCTCTCCTTCATGTCTCACTCAAATATCACTTCATCAGAGGCCTTCTCTGATCAATATATATAAAATAGAAAAGCCCCTCTCCCACCCTACCAACTCTCTATCCTTCTTATCTCACCTTTTCTCCATAGCATGGGATGTGTTGTATTTGCATTTACCTGTTGCCCACACCCCACCCCGACTAGAATGTAGGTTACATGAGGGCAAGGACTTTGTTTTGTATATAGAACTGTTTGGGTATACAGAACTTCAGAAATATTATATTTATTACAAATATTATTTGAATGGATAGTGACTAGCACATAGCAAGTAACGAATGTTAGCAGCTATTATAAATAAAAATCCCATTAGGTAACTTCATAATACTAAATGACTCGTACATACCTTGAATCATTTCACTGATTTTGTTACAGATTCCTATAGCAAAATCCCTTTGAAAAGAGAGAACACAAGAAGTTTAAAACCAAAGAATTAAATATGCTTATGTTTTCTAAGGACTTAAAAGAAATAAAACACAATTAGCACAGGAGAAATGCAATCCTCCAAATCGTAACTAATATTCCAAAGGTCAGGTGCCAGAGATGGGAGGAGATGGTAAGAAACACAACTGAAACAAAAACTCCAACCACCAAATGGGCTTATGCCAACACTGTTCTAAAGCAGCTCACTCAGGCCATTATCACAATACTATTTTATTTTATTTTTTATAACACTAACCAGCATCTGAAATTATTTTGTACTTACAAAACAGCAGAGCGTGATCTTTTTCACCTCTGTAGTCCTGGCACTCAGAATAGTGTCTGGACATGGTAGATACGTATTTCTTCACTAACCATACAAAAACTTTTTATAACAACTCAAAATTTAAAAACCTGTTTCAGGCCTTTAGGACCAATAAACTTCAAACCAAGAACCTGCAGATTTTTTTCTGATAGTATTTTTAAAATTCTTTCTTCTAAGAATATTTTAAAAATTCTTAATGTCAACATTTAAATATGGTGAAACTAAACAGAATAATCTGATTTTTCAGTCCCCTCTGCACCCCCTAAAAAATGAGACCTGGCGACACTGGGCATGCATTTCTGCAGTGTTACCAATCCGCTGGTGCCATGGGGCACCCTCAGATGGAACGAGGGCTCGTCAGTTCACCACAGCTGCCGCCAGAGGACACTGGTCTCACTGACA